GTGTGTGTGTGTGGTGGTTAGAAGCTGACCTCAGGGGTCTTTCCTCAGATACCATCTACCTCGCTGTTGTGCTGTTGTTTGTTGTTGTTGTCATTGTTGCTCTGTTTGATTTTTGTGGATTTTTCTTTTCTTCTGAGACTAGGTATTTCACTGGTACCCGGGGCTCACCAATTAAACTAAGCTGGCTGGCCAGTGCCCAGGGATCCACCTACCTCTGTCTCCCCAGCTCTGGGACCATAAGTCCACACCATCATGTTCAGCTTTTTACACAGATGCTGTTTACATGGATGTTGATTGACCTCAAGTCCTCGTGCTTGTGTGACAAGCACTGTAGCAACTGAGCTATCGCCACAGTCCCCACAATTTTGACATATACTCCATTTTTACTGCTGTGGACTTGACATAGAAATGCAGATATGAATGAACCTGGTCTGAACTTATCAACAACAGTAACAATTGCTTGATCAGTCGGACGGCTGGTGTCTAGTGCTGTGGCTCTCACACAAGGATGCAAAAGAGCTCTGTGACTCAAGGTGAAACTGAGTAGCCTCACCTGCTCTATCTGCTTGTACCACACCATCAGCACCTCCTCCAGTTGATGGACCATCTCTGAATTGCTCGCTGCTGCTGCTACTTCTTCAAAGGTATGCAGTCTGGAAAAATCGATGTTGTCTACCTTCTTTAACATCACAGTTCCTTTGATGCTTATTCTAGCACCTGGAAGAAAAAAGAATATTTAAAAAAGAAGTGTCCCTGTGTGAAACACCAGGATGTGCACCCAAGCTGTAGAATTTACAGAAGTGTTAAAGATCTAGCACTTCATAGAAATATAATTCTAAGGACTGGAGATGTGGCTCAGTTGGTAGCGTGTTTCCCTAGCATGCACAGAGTCCTGGGTTTGATTCCCAGCACTGCATAAACCATGTGTAGAGGCACGTGCCTCAGCACTTGCAAAGTGGAGGAAGAGGGGACAGGAGTTTAAGGTCATCCTGGGCTAGGAGTGATTTCAAGGCCATCTACAGCTACATGAGGCCATGTTTCAAAAAGAAAAAAGAAGAAATATAGCTCTAATTGATCATTCTCTGTGACTTATGAATTGAATTGCATATTTTGCAATATTAAATGATAAAAATACATGTTAAAGAGATTATCATAATATATATATATTTTTTTAATATGTCATACTTTCTGATTTTATAACCACTTTTGAAAGAGACGTATCCTTGCTCTGGAGTGCATTACTGAATACATTAAAGCTGTGATGAAATGCTTCTTCTAATCATGTGGTTATTAAATTTTTATCATAATATATATATATATTTTTTTAATATGTCATACTTTCTGACTAAGAATATAGGAAGAGATTCATCTTGCTATAATGCCTCTATTCTGCAAAGATCCCTGGACAGGAGGGGTTCTTGTGTTTTCCTATCTTACCTCCAGGTCTCAGAAGTACTTTCATTAACATCTTTTAAGATGGAGACTCTTGGGGCTGGAGAAATGGCTCAGTGATTAAGAGCACTGTTCTTGCAGAGGACCTGGATTCAGTACCCCCCCCACATGGTGGCTAACAACCTTCTACAACTCCAGTTCCAGGGGATCTGATGCCCTCTTCTGGCCTCCGCAGGCACTGCATGCACAAAAAGTAACCGTCACACCCACCCTGGCTGTGGGCTGTGCCACGCTGTGGGCTAAGGTCTTGAACTGAATAAAAAGGCGAAAGCAAACTGAACACTGACTTTCATCTCTGTTTCCAGACTGTGAGTGCAGTGGGATCAGCTGCTGCTTCAAGCTCCTGCCACTGTGACTTTTACACAACCACAGACTGTACCCTGGAACTGTCAGCCAAAATAAACTCTTATTTCCGTAATGTTTAAAAAATATTTTCTTTATTATTTTTATTTTATGTGTATAAGTGTATTGCCTGCATGTATGTGAGTGCAATTTTAGAAAATAACTCTCTGAAACCAAAAACGTAAATTTACTGCTGCCACCATCTACTCCTACTCCCTCTGGTGAAAGACATCCCAGAACAAAGTAAGTGAAGTTATTCATATTTGGAACAGCAAGATGCCTCTATGGTAAAGACACCTGCTGCCAAGCCTGACAACCTGAGTTTGATCCTCAAGACCCACATAGTAAAAGGAGAGAATTACTTTGCCTCCAGTTGTCCTCTGACCTCCACACATACGCATACAGAGAAAGGGATAGAAAGAAAGAGAGAGAGAAATTTTTAAACTATTTTAAAGACTGCTGTTGAGTATGCATTATTGTTCTTTGTAATAGCTAAGTAGAATTACTTTCTGAGGGAATGGATGAATAAACTTCTCTCCTTCCTTAAATAAAGTATATCTGATGTAATTTAAATGTCAGAAAGCCTAACTAATAAAATATGATTTCTGCATAGAGGAAAACCAAGCATCGTTGAAGGGAATAAATTAAATGTACTTAATGGTGGAATGGAAGAAAGGAAATGTTAAGGGGGGGGTCTTGTTAAACAATGCCCATGGCATCGCTATTGGCTGGATATTCATGTCCCCCTCCCCCCAAATTCATATGTCAAGACCTAGTCCTCAGTGTGAGAGTATTTGGACTTGAGAACTTTGGGAGGTAAATGATGAGGGTTATGCCCTTATTCCTGAGATCTGCATCTCTATCAGTGTGTGTGTGTGTGTGTGTGTGTGTGTGTGTGTGTGTGTGTGGTGGTTAGAAGCTGACCTCAGGGGTCTTTCCTCAGATACCATCTACCTCGCTGTTGTGCTGTTGTTTGTTGTTGTTGTCATTGTTGCTCTGTTTGATTTTTGTGGATTTTTCTTTTCTTCTGAGACTAGGTATTTCACTGGTACCCGGGGCTCACCAATTAAACTAAGCTGGCTGGCCAGTGCCCAGGGATCCACCTACCTCTGTCTCCCCAGCTCTGGGACCATAAGTCCACACCATCATGTTCAGCTTTTTACACAGATGCTGTTTACATGGATGTTGATTGACCTCAAGTCCTCGTGCTTGTGTGACAAGCACTGTAGCAACTGAGCTATCGCCACAGTCCCCACAATTTTGACATATACTCCATTTTTACTGCTGTGGACTTGACATAGAAATGCAGATATGAATGAACCTGGTCTGAACTTATCAACAACAGTAACAATTGCTTGATCAGTCGGACGGCTGGTGTCTAGTGCTGTGGCTCTCACACAAGGATGCAAAAGAGCTCTGTGACTCAAGGTGAAACTGAGTAGCCTCACCTGCTCTATCTGCTTGTACCACACCATCAGCACCTCCTCCAGTTGATGGACCATCTCTGAATTGCTCGCTGCTGCTGCTACTTCTTCAAAGGTATGCAGTCTGGAAAAATCGATGTTGTCTACCTTCTTTAACATCACAGTTCCTTTGATGCTTATTCTAGCACCTGGAAGAAAAAAGAATATTTAAAAAAGAAGTGTCCCTGTGTGAAACACCAGGATGTGCACCCAAGCTGTAGAATTTACAGAAGTGTTAAAGATCTAGCACTTCATAGAAATATAATTCTAAGGACTGGAGATGTGGCTCAGTTGGTAGCGTGTTTCCCTAGCATGCACAGAGTCCTGGGTTTGATTCCCAGCACTGCATAAACCATGTGTAGAGGCACGTGCCTCAGCACTTGCAAAGTGGAGGAAGAGGGGACAGGAGTTTAAGGTCATCCTGGGCTAGGAGTGATTTCAAGGCCATCTACAGCTACATGAGGCCATGTTTCAAAAAGAAAAAAGAAGAAA